CTGAGCTCAGAGAGTCTGTCATACGTCACCATTAGCATAGTATATTTTGCGTGTGTGTGTGTCCTCCGCATGTGCCCTAGCTTCATAATAACAATGCGCCGAGTTTCAGCGCTCTGACCTGCACACGCTGTCAATAGCAAGATATGTTCCGTATTTGATAATTTTTAATGATGTTGGAGGAATCTGAAGGTGGTGAGTCATTCTGGCAGATTGTAATTAACACCCTGTCTCATGCAGGTGTTCTGACATTGTAAACCTCACACACACAACATTGTGGATGTAACAAAATAAATCAAGAAATGATTCCCGTCTGAGCATTTTAGCATTATTATATTATTATATTAGCACACTGACTGTGGGACAGCACTCTAAACGTGTCAGGCTGTTAACAGCATGCTGAAGATCTGAAGTTCAGAGTTAGACGCGTTCCAGCGGAACCACGGCTCACGGGTGCACATGTGAGCACATCTCGGCTGGGCAGAAGTAATTTTACAACATTGGTTTAAATAGCGCCAATAACGAGACGCGGTGACTGGAGCGGCTCATGGAGCTGTGCCGCACACACACACACACACACACAGATACACACACACACACACACACACACACACACACACACACACACACACACACACACACACACACACACACACACACACAGAGAGAGAGATTCAATAAGTGCACACTGCACAGTGCCGTCAGACTGAAGGCAGAAATGAGCGCTGCCTCCTCTATGATAAAAACTTTTAAGAGGTTTTATAACAACATTTTTCATTCAAGGTCATATTAAGATATTAGCTTCTATTTTGGGATGACGTATTAAAGTCGGGTCCGCTCCAGCCAGTGACTCCTCGTGAACCTGACCACAACTCATGTTACTGCAGCATTTGTTGTTCCAGGTCGCGTGGCAGCGGATCGCAGATTCAGCCACACCATAAAACAGCAATAAGTCTGTCTGAGGCAAAAGTGAACCTCATGGCTATTGCTTTTCCATATTTTCCCCTACAGACATTTGATTACGCACAAGCAGGTGAACAGTTCAGGTTTACGCAGAGCAGAAGGAAGGAGAGCGCTCTGGCCGCACAGGTTAAACGTTCCTACTTTGAAAACCATTAAATTGCATTGTTTATGTGCTACCTGGGCACTCTAAATATTTATTTAAAATTAAATCAAAGGAAATTGTAATTGTATTGAATGTTTATTAATTACTATTTCAAAAAATGAAAGTGATGGGGAAAAAGGTCGATCATATTGTTTTAACCCTGTCTGTCGAGTGACTGTTTAGCTTGACGTCTGATATATATATATATAAATATATATATATATATATATATATATATATATATATATATATATATATATATATACATATACATATATATATATATATATATATATATATATATATATATATATATATATATATATATATATATATATATATATATATATATATATATATATATCCATGCCCTGATATATGGGCTGGGGGGGTGCGTTGACATGGTCGGGATATAGAAGGGGGTGTGCGGCTAAATAAGTTTGGGAACCGCTGCTTTAGATGACACTCTGTGAAGATCTGGCTGAGCTTATGCATGGCTGAAAGGTTTCTCATCAGACACCGCCCCCTTAAACGGAACATCCAAAATAAAAGTGCCTCCTCGGCTGACTGTGAAAACCGCGTGTGGCCAGATGCCCTCACCCACACTTTGGTGGCCCTGCTGTGGGTCACACCTATGAGTCTGGACCTTCCTGATGAGACACTGATCCTTCTCACTGCATACCAGGACACGTGACCTTTGACTCTTAGGGCAGACATTAGAGACAGCTGAATTTTAAGCCCTTCCATGTAATGCAACATTTTATTTTACCAGTTAACATTAAAAACAAATCTAGACAAAGAAAAAAACATTATGAGGACCAAAGTTTATTGCAGTGGCATGTTCACAATGGTGCCAATGAAAAATTTAATATTATGTGTATTTTTCTAAAGTTCCTTACCACAACACATTTAATTTCCTTTAGTGTGTAAAGGAACATATGATATATATACAATATTTAATAAAATGCATCTTGTTTGTGCTAATAACTACTGCTACTTACTTGTTTTTGTTTACTTTAGAGGAGGAGCTATTGTAAGACCGGCACTATTTAAACATTCTGAAATAAAAGAAAAACAACTTGACACTTTTTTACAATTTAACTTGCAGGTAAACCACCCCAGAGAACACATTATTGTCTTTATATCTCATATGAAGCATGACAATAACTTATCTAGAAAGAAAAATTATGAAGGGAAAAAGAAATCCTAAAACATGATTATCTTGTTCCATTGTTTGGTTCTTTTCTAAACACAGAGTATTGATTTGTTTTTGCCTTTTTTAGCTGACAAGTTTCAGCTAACGCTGCAGCCATCCCCAGAGCACCGCCGATGGTGGTGGTGTCGGCGGTGCTAAACGGAGAAGGAAGTGACGCCACCAACATCGCCGGTACTATACTCTGTGTTTAGAAAAGAACCAAACAATGAAACTTTATCAAAAGATTATTATCTTGTATTGTTATTATCTATCCATCCAATTTCTTTACCCACTCATCCAAAAAGAAAGAAAGAAAGAAAATGATCTTTTATACAGCACCTCTCAAGATAAAAATCACGAGGCGCTTCACAAAAACAAAACAAAAATTACGCATTAAAAAGATTTGAAAAAAATTATTCAAAATATGTTTAAAATAAGAAAATAATACAAATTGTGAATTAAATTAAAACGTAAGAAAAGGGAGAGAGAAATTGAATAGGAAAGAGGGAAATCAGTGGATTCCGGGAAAGGCGGAACAGGTCAGTTTTCAGCTACTTTTTAAAGGAGGCCACTGAGTCCACTGATCTTAGGCTCAGAGGGAGAGAGTTCCAGAGTGTGGGGGCCACAGCAGCAAATGATCTGCACCTTTGGTCTTTATCCACACAGGATCGTGGGGGGCTGGTGCCCATCTCCAGCAGTCTCTGGGCATGCATGCAGGGTACACCCTGGACAGGTTGCCAGTTGTTGCAGGGCAACACATAGACGCATAGAACAAACAACCATGCACACACACTCACACCTAAGGACTATTTAGAGACCAATCCACCTGACAGTCATGTTTTTGGACTGTAGGAGGATAGTTCCTGGAGTGCCTGGGAAGAACTCAAGGAGAACATGTGAACTCCTTGAAAAGAGACCCCAGGACCTCATTGCTGCAAGGCAACAATGCTAATCACTGCTCCATTATGCAGCCCATATTATCATTATCAATAGTTTATAGTGGCCTATTACTGTCTTTGTTAGAAGCTTCAAGCCTTAAAAATATAGAAAACTATGCAAATAGTTTTTAATACTGTTTTCCTGTTGTGGAAGTTAAGGAGTTTAAAAACACAGTTGCAAAAATTTTATAGAAGGTTATGCAAACTGCTCTGTCACCAATATCATTACAATTATTGGTAACACTGTACAATAAGGGTCCCTTTATTAGCATTATTTAGTGCATTATTAAGTATTAATGCACTATTAATAAAGTATTAACAACTGCTTAACCACATCAAGTAATGCATCACTAAGCAGACACCCACCCCTCCCACTGCCTTGGCTCTTTGTCCCAACCTTAAGGACACTTAATAGTTAACAACATCGGTGACGTTAAAAAGTGACCCGTACTGTAAAGTGTTACCCAGTCATGTACTTGCAACTCTGATTATTCAGAAGCACAAATCGCTTCCTGTGTTTTGGGCTTTCGGAAAAACTTGACAGTGATGTAAAGATTTTTAAAATTACTTCTTTTTTTATTTTTTTTTGGAGGGGGGTGAAGTTGTTTTAAGAATGCAGTAAGATACGTTATACAAGAAATTACACACTTCATTCAAAAAGTAAAACATTTCTGTTTGTCTTCACCAGACATGCTAGCCTGGCCAGCCTTCATCCATGCTTCTTTATGGGAAGCATTGGGTCTGGGAACTCTTCTATCAGAATAACCCCGCCCCCTGAGAATTCTAACTGAGCCAATCAGTGCGTAGTAGCATACGTCACACACCACAACGCTGCGTTTCTCATAAACACTGGCGACTGAAGCGGAGTTCGCTGCAGCTCTTTCCTCTGTTCTAAATGACTTGGACATGTCTTTCAAACCGCATCAAGTAGAAGCACTAAAAGCCTTTCTTCTAAAGAAAGATGTTTGGGCCATTTTCACAGCTAAAAACAAAACTACAGCGTTGTGCGGTACAGTCGGCATTTCTGCCTTTTTCTGATTGGTTGTTTTTGAGCTGGCTAGTCCTGCCCCTCATGTGCCTCTCTGCTTGTGAGTGACCAGACTAGCTCTCTGTGTAGAATTAAACAGAGGACTTGTCTGGCAGGCCAGGCTACAGACATGCTGGTGGTGACATTTACGCTTGTTTTTTCATAAAATAACGTTGATCAACCTCCATTAAACATTTTAGATAAGAGTGGGTTTAAGACAGCCCTTTACTTTTGGCTCCCTCTGACTAGCCATTAGCTTATCAGTCCTGCAGTTTGAAAAGCTGTATCTCTCCACAGAGGCTTTTTCAAGATTGCACAAAGGGTAAGATGGTAATAAGTTACACACAAAAACAGACTTTAAGGTGGTATTTAATTTATGGCCACGGATGGCTGGATGTAAGTTATAGCCTACATCACACATAAAAGGTTTACGTGAATGGTGAAAATATGCAAGGGAGGAAGAGATACCAAGTGAAATGTGTTTCCTAAATGTTAGATCCCTCACAGACCTGCAGCTCTTTCAAGTAGACAAGATTAGTAAGATGCTTTAATCATGCCCCAACTAGTCCTCAGGCGAATCATCACCGCCTTGAGTTTCACTCTGTTATCTGTTTGATTCTCACTTTAAACACCAAGAAGACACAACAGTACAGAAACTTATCAAGCATTGCAGTTTCATACATCTGTCTGATTATTCTCTAGTGGGTTTGGATTTAAAAGTGTTAGAAAGTGATTTACCTTGCCCAAGAAGACCTCCGAACAGGGAGCAGAGGAGCAGCACACACAGAGCCATTGGAGTAGCTGAGACTCAACAATCTGCTGGAGAAGGAGAAGGAGGAGGTCAGATAAACTCTGAAGGTGTACGAGCACAATCTGCTCCCCCGGTGCGAACCAACAGCAGCCCTGTGTCGGAGGAAGGAGGACGGATTGTGATGGAGCTGAGAGGGAGTTGTGACTGGAGTGTCTAATGGGGCCGTGAGGGGCGGGCTGGGGCCACACACACACATACACACATTTACACAGGCTGACACACACACACACACACACACACACATGCTCACACACACACACACTCTGACACACACACGCACACACACAAGCACACACACACAGTCACACTTTTTTTTTCTTAGTCTAAATTAACCTTTTACCTGCAGATTTGGTCTTTTATTTTAAAAATATCTCTTTTAGACATTTTGTTACTTTAATGATGCCCTGTGATGGACTGGCAACCTGCAGGTGTACCCCACCTGTTTGCCCATTGACTGCTGGAGATAGGCACCAGGCCCCCCGCGACCCTACATGGACAAGCGGGGTTCAGATAATGGATGGATGAATGGATGGATACTTTATCAATAATATGAAAATTATTCCAGTTCTAAACCACTGGCCCTTTGAAGGATATGTTATTATTTTTTCTTGATATATAATAGCTTTTTGCTGCGATGGACTGGCTCTCTGTCCAGGGTGTATCCTGCCTGACCCCCCCCCCCCCCCCCCCCCCCCCCCCCCCACACACACACACACACACACACACACACACACGTCCCTACGTGGACAAAGCGGTTTCAGACAATGGATGGATGGAAGGATGGATATTAGCTTTCTGGTCCATACCAAACATGTTCATGAAGTTGTTGCACAAAATCCCTCTTAAATAAAGCAATTTCAGCTGTTTTATTCTTGCTCTTTTCAGTGCCTTCCAGACTGAGCCGTTTCATTGCACTGTTGTTTTAGCGAGGTCCTTCACTCAAATTTGTAACACATTTGAGGTGATCTCTAGTAGGAGTAAATGTCTCGAAAGTCGTACTCGGGGTGAACAAAAGCTCAGATGTAACTGTTGAGCGTGATAAATTCAGCTGGAGGAGAAAGTAGCTTCAGACGACAGAATTTATAGTCTAATTTCCTGATGTCTGGACATCCCACCTGACTGGCTAACAGCAACGTGACTCTGCCACTGACTCTGCGTTGCAATGTTGATATTTACTCCAAAAATAACAGAAGCTTGAAGCAGTTCTGTTGTGGAGTTGCTAAAAAGCCAAGATGTTCTCTGCCCCGTTGTGAGCCAATGTGACGTAGATCTGTCAGGTTTTTCAAATCCAATTTCATTGTCTATTTTCTGTCAGAAGCTAATGCAGAAAATAGGTGTAGGACACAACTTTCACATTCAACCTGCATGTCAAACTCAGAATGACCAATAATTTTCCAATTTAATAAAAGTTTCTCAGTGAAGGAGCTCATTAAGAAAACTTGCTGGAGCTTGCCGAGCCCACCCATCCCCCACTCAGGCTGCTACAGGCTGAGAAGCTCTGATATCCGAGAGGGGCTCAGAATAAAGCTGCTGCTCCTCCAACAACTCTTGCACGATAGTGGTGGTTCTATTCTTCTTTCTCCGTGTGTGATGTCACAAATGGGGTCATTTGGAATTGCCTTGTTGTAGGTACATATTTCCTTAAAACTAACACTGACAGAAAACATGTGGATTTATTTGTTTTTTGTTTATAGAGGCAGTGGAGGCCTACATGGCTGCAAAACAGGAGAAAACGGTGAGTTTAGCATAATATGCATAATTACTATAATACGCCCTCTTTAAATTCTGTCTGCAGAATGTATTTTAATAGATATTATGTGTCCCATGGCCATGCACACATGGAAATTGTCCCATCAATTGGTAGACCTTTCCCTCCAGTGTCTAATGAATCTAGTGCTTATTTAACATCTGGAGCTGATTTGAGGCTATTTTGAAAATGTGTTGAGGCTGCATCCAGAAACCGAAGAAAATTCACACAAACAACAGCAAAATGTCAGAATTACCACATTTTCTAGCATTTAACCTTGCAGGAATTTGGAGATAAACTACCGCCCTCCCTTTAGCTGCACAGTCAGACCCACAACTAAGCCTGTTTTTCCCTTGTTGAAGTTAATAAGTCAAAGCTTTTGTAACTGTGCCACCAGCTGTGTGGGGAAAAAAGGTGTCTGTCAGCACAAAGTGATCATGGATTCTGAGAAAGGTATAAACAAGCCACACATGCACAGACACACTCATGCACACTGACGTCTGCCAGACTTGGCAAGAAGTGCAGAAATAATTGCAAGACTGCATTATAAATATTTTGTACCATCTACGGCCCTCTGCAAATTCAATCAGTCTACTGACTCTGGGCATGGTGACAAAGAGAGGTTAAATGATCCTCTAATCAGAGCCATATGGCTCCAGCACCGCTGTAGCCAGTCAAGAAACATCACCGTCGTCACTCTGCAGACACACAGGAATGCCCACAAGTACATGACAGCTAAAGATAGATAACTCTGAGTGAAAAACACCTCTCTCTCTCTCTCTCTCTCTCTCTCTCTCTCTCTCTCTCTCTCTCTCTCTCTCTCTCTCTCTCTCTCTCTCTCTCTCTCTCTGTCTCTCTCTCTCTCTCTCTGTCTCTCTCTGATTTGTCAGTTTGTCACATTTAACTTACTCAGAATCTTTTTAACTCATAAGACACTACACAAATACAAGCCATTTATTATTTGTGATAAATTACCAGTCTACAAATTGTATTGTGCTAGAATGATCACACTACAAAAGAGTATTTTCAAATTTAAATAGTACAAATTAAATGTATAAAAATAATAACATGAAATTAAATCCAAAAATGTTAAATAAATCTAAATAGTTTGAGTTGAGCCCCAAAAATGTATATAAACATAGGTCTGAGTATTTATTAGACTTCTATATAGTCTTTTGTAATATAAAAATTAAAATAATAATATGATTTATGAATACGAAATACTTAGCCAACATAAAAAATCAGTAGATGGATGTAACTTTTCAAAATAAAAGCCTGAAAATAACTTTGATGTTATGATTAACATAACATATGATTAACGAAGCCTCAGATTAAATACGTCCAACGTATAGAAAGCCATAGCCAGACTCGAGGCTTAGCTGTTTCACTTCAGTCGCCACCGATCTTCTCACCAGAGAATTTTGCATCCTAACAAGAAACAGCAACAGGAACTGGCCTCTCAGAGCTAATGGGAGAAGGAAATTGGAGTGGCTGCCACAGTGATAATCTCCTTGTAGGGGGTGCAGGTCAGATTCTTTGAAGCTCAGCAAAGGTTGTCCTACCACATCTGTGTCAATCTACAGATGGTCACCAACACAGCCAGGCAGGGGGAGGAGTGGCCTGTGGGCCTGGGTTCTCTTTCCAATGCTTGTTGAAAATGAAGAGTTGAACCACTGTAAAGTATTCTCAAGGGAATGGTCCATTCCCCAGTAATACCTGCACTTGGATTTTCAAACATGTTTGTAGTTCAGTTTCCTGGATTTGTGTCGTAAAATTTGGTAGAAGAAGCTGGCAGGCCAGTGGTGCAGAGGACGGTGGGATGTCAAACCTTTCATTTGTGACAAATAAAAAGCTTCAATTAACAGGAGAACAGGGAGCTTCATCTTAGTGGTGGAAATTATTACTCCCTTCTGGATCCATATAATTTGGCTCAAGTCACCAAAGTGAGTATAAGTGCCAGCTCTTTCAGCTCCCAAACGGCTCATCAAAAAAGAGCTTTTTCCACCAAACAGGCTCCAGTTCTAAACCATGGCCAGACTTTGCCTGAAGTAGCTTTCTCCATTTTCTCTGGCTCTGACACTGAAAAGCTGCAGCCGTTTCAACAAGTGTCTGAGAAACCTCCAGAGAAAGGTGACCAGGAGACATCCTAATCAGATGGCCACATAACCTCAGCTGGTTCCTTTTGTTATGGAGAAGCAGCATTACTCCAAGCTTACTGTGAATGACATGTTTGATAAATACTGTTTGGCAGTGACAGCATCATCAATCAGGATGTTGTCTAAAACAGATTAGCTGTTAAAACAGAAATCTGGAGTTTTTCTCGGAGGGCACCATCTAGAGGCAGAAAAATATATTGCACTTAAAGGCCCTCTGCCTACTTTCGTGATACGGCTGGAAGCAACACTTCATGTTCATGAATGCACATCTCTGACTGGCCAGCCAAGCTAAAATACATTGTTTTATGAATGGTATTCTCATGTTATGGTTTTGCATATTCATATATGAGTAGCTCAGGACTTTGGCAAACACGCAAATTCTTACTACACCCACACTTCCTGTTTGAAAATGCTCACACTGTAAAAAAAAAAAAAGTCCAGTGAACTTAAAAAAGTAAAGCAACCAGTTGCAATACAATTTTAAGTTCAGTCAACTTTTTAGGTGCTTGCTTTTCTGTATTAACTTAACATTTTGCAAGTTAAAACGTTCAACTGACAAAACTTTAAACTCTCCAAACAAATTGCAAGTTGGATTTTTAACAGTGCATAAAGGAGGCAACACCTGGCAGACCAAGAGAGCAGCACTGAAGCACTGGCTGACAGCACCCACTTCAACTTCCCATCTGCACCCCGTTCGACTCCCCACTCACCAGTGCACCTGTGGATGCAGAACCACCTCCTTGGACTGCATTTCCCAGCATGCCTTTCAAGGGCCATTCTCATCCGACATCACCACTAGCATCTATAAATGGAAATCCGCCATCACTCTGTCATTGTTCCTTCAGAATTGTATAAAGGGTCCCTGAGTTCTCAACTCATTTTAATCAACCTGCCAATGACTAGTAAGTGACTTCTGTACTGTCTCGTTTGGAGCTGGAGGTATGGTCCAGACTCGGCTGCAGTCCAGCACAGCCAGATAATAAGGTATAGGCAACACCACTGAGTGGCTCTTAGCTATTAGCAATGGCTAATTCAAATTCATTGTAGTGCAGAGATTTAACCAGAAAATGATCCAGTAATGATGGTTTTAGGCTCCATTTTTATATTTAAAATAGGATGAACTAAATGCCTAAATAAGGACTACACAAGTCTACAGCACTATTAGATACTAAATTACACAGTTTATCAGCAGTTGATAAGGAAGAGTTGAGAGTTGATATAAAATGTTGATTTGCTTAACGTATCACATCGCCATGCTCGTCTGG